CAAGAAATAGTTAACTAATCATTTATAATGCCTGTGACTGAAATTTTCAGGTTTAATATAATCTGTACTAATACTACAATACTTTCTACATAATTATTTATATTATATATAATATATATTAATACTTAAATGTTATTTGCAGAAGATTACTTCAAGAAAATAAAAAATATTGACTTCACTAATTTTGCTTTTACTTTTCTTCAGATGTAATGAACACACTCTTTAAGAGAATAACACATTCTACTTTCATAAGTGGTTTGTGCTTGTTTCGTACCTATCCACATAAAACAGGTTATCTCTCCAAGGTGTTTGCTAGAGATTTTAATTTTTTTTTGTCTGGAGTGAGACATCAGAATTCTTCTCTTTGGGAGCTGATTGGATTATGTTCATTAGTTTGTGATCATCCCAGAAACACACTCATAAATCTTACTGCAATGCCATTAGAATAAGATGTTTTGATTATGTTTTATTAAAGCAGATGCTACCATCTGCACTGTAGAGAAATAAAAATATGATTTACTACATTCAGGAGACACTTGGCAAATATCTTCCCCTCAACCAATAAGATTTCTGAAATAAACTTTGGGTTGAAAATAGTGGAAATTGGAAATAAAATTACTTTTTCTTTCGTATGAGCAGCACATAGAGAAGAAAGGAGGCAACCCCAGCTAAGTCACCTCTGAATGCAGAGACCAACCAGACTTGTTTCCAGAAGAGGATAAGGTGAAACAGGAGTTCCCATACTCTAAGTGCTAAGGAAATTCATATTAGAATGCAACAGCTTAGATTTATCTTCACCAATTACTTTAACTGGCACACAATCTGTTGATCTTAAAGAGTATGAAGACCTAAGCAGCAAGTGAATAATTCTCTGTGAATGTTCATACACTTTCTGTTGCTCCAATGAAAACAACCCTCACAGAGGCATCCTTTGGACCTGTCCTTTTCTTGACTTTGAGCATCCAGTCTGATTTCAGCCCTCCAAACCAATGCAAGGTTTCCTTGAAGGAGAATCAGCTGTTTTCTCCAAATTCCCATCTGCTTCAGGAAATCACCATCAATTTGCCACCATTTCCTTGGGTGATATGCCAAAGGCTTCCCATACAATCACCAGGTCATACTTGCAACTGTTTGGAAGTCAGGTCCATTATTTATTATTCCTTGAATGACACATACTGTGGGGTCACATCAGGTTTCTTATCTTTACTCCCCTATACATTGCTCTAGTTTAACCTATATTCAAGCCTCAACTTTTATCCTCAGTTACTTTGGATTTAACCTGGAAAATTTGACTAAACAGAGAAACACGGAATATATTTTATATATCATATACACAGAGTTGAGAAAACCACTAATGGTTCCTCATTTGTTTGTTGATGATCTGACAGAGAAATAAAACCCTGTTTTAGGCAGCTGAAGATGCCACATTTTCCTTTTTGATCTGTATGAAAATATACAGCTCTTTCCCTTCAGCAAATTTCAGTCACAGGTTTTTCAGCAATACTAGTGAACCACAAAATAGTAATAAAATCTTGTTGTACCAGGTTATCAAATTAGAGTTTAAAATCCAGATTGTGCTTAAAATCCTCTAAACCACTACATTGGAACTTGACAGGTGCACATTATAAACACAAATTGACCTAGACTGGCAGCAGTGCCACCAGGATTTACTTTTTATGTTTGCTTCAAAAAGAAATTATCCTTGTAATTTAACTGCTTTGTTCTCTGCATCAATGAATTACCAGATAAGAGCAAAGTGCCACTGAAAAAAGTTTTTATAGCAAATAAACACATGAAGATGGAAACAAAAAAAGGTAACTGCAATGCTACAAGGTCAGAGAGACTTGAAATAAAAATGTCACACTAAAACATACAAGGCAGAGTCATCTAGAAGAAAAAAACACCTTTATTTTGTTGCTTAATGTGCATTTATGTAAAAGAAGACCTAAAGGTGGAAGAAAGAAGACGGAAAGAAATTCAGTTGCCCCAGGTTATCAAAGACATCACCTCAGAGCTGGTCCTTAGACAAAGTTAAAGAACAGATTGAGCAAAGATGGGACTCTCAGTTTCTTCAGCTTCAAAGCAACAGGTGAGCTGATAGCACTGAACATACAAAAACAAACTGGGGAAAACTCAATTCACTGCTCAAACTTTCCGATTCTCAGGATATCGACTGAAGCAAAAGTTATTTCATCCATATCTACAGAACTCTGGTGACTGATCAAGTGTCCCTCCAGGGACATCCACTGCTGCCAAACCCTCCTGAGTAGCTGAGGAGATTTTCAAGGTCACACCTAGAGAGGTTGAAGTCATCTCTGGGAATGGGGTGGCAAACAGGAATGAGTTTGCCACCCTAATCTACTGCCCTGTACAATGTCATCTTCTGCTGCATTGCTATTCCCACACCCTTGGGTATTTCTGGAAAACACAGAAAAGCCTTTCTTTGTTCAATGATTTTGCACCTACACTGAGTGATCGTTATCATAAAACACATTTCCTTATTTATCATTCTCTGCTTTGATAAACTAAATCATCACATTATAGACTTCTAAAGCAAGGAGGAGGTTTCATCCTATTGCTGTAAATGTCTTTTCTGTGGAAGGGAGAAGGAGGAAGGTGGATTTTTTTGCTAATAAGCAGAGCCCTGTGGAGGCCCTGCTTTACCTGTGTGAACAGTCCTTTGCTAACCTTACCAGGTCAAGGCTGCCCGAGCTCAAACAAATCCTTAGCTGCAGGGAAAACCAACTGAGTTTCTGCTCTGCCTCTGAGTAGCCGAATAAGAGTGAAAGCAGTGTCTGGGGATGAGTGCCTTGTAGGGTTTTTTGGGATTTTCTTTATTTTGAGGAGAGACACCAGGAAGAGGCCAACAGGAACCAAGTGAGGTAAATGAAGGCTGGAAGCAGAGCTGCACATGGAACAACAAAGATGTGGCTCAGTGTCTCTTGTTCTGTTTCATTTTGTCCTCTTTTGCACTCACAGGACACTGTCCCTCCGCCTTTCCTGCCTGTTTGCTGACACAACCAGCTTGCTGAGGAAGGTGATTATTAAGGTCTCCACTCTACTCTTGTCCATCTGTCCTCCTCCCATGCTCCATTCAAACTCTCTCTGCCACACATTGCTGCCTCAGAGCCTGCATGGTCTGTCTGGAGAAACCCTGGCTCAGTGCAACAAGCGTGACAGGAAAATGGGAGAATGGATCCAAGAACCCCGAAAACACTTCTGTGGTCTGTGCCTACATCATCAAAACTTTCTCCCTTTGCTACACACACATCCCCTGATCCCTTTTGCACACTGCTGGAACCACATGAAGAAAGATGAAGTGAGATCAGATATAGGAGGAGTGAGGGGAAGATAACCCTTATTATCTCATCTTTATCTATTCCTTCCCTACCTCCTTCCTGTTTTCCCTACTTATCCACACATGGATAGGGCTGCTGGTGTCAAATCAGGGTGGCAGCAGCAGTGCCCTCTGATCCTTCTGCTTCCTAGGACAGGAGATGAAAGCAGCCAGGGAACCTGGAATCAGGGAACAATGCTCCCAGCCCAATTCCTACCACGTTCCAGCCACACATCAAACAGTTTCTGCCCCCTCCCTTTAATTTGGGCTTCCCATAGGGCAGAGTCCCAGATGGGTGACAGATAAGCTATATGTTTTGTCAAGACATTTGATTACAACCTAGCTCAGGTAAATAAAGCATTTAATTTTTCAAAAGTGATGCTAACATTAGTTCAGAAGAGTTACAGGTAAGTCATGTGTCTCTACAACAGAAAAAAAATTCAGCAGTCAGTGGTGAGGCCAGTCTTGCGTTCTCTCTCAGCATAAGTCTTGTTACTGGGGACTTCAAATGATTTTATACATTGTAAGTGATATTATTATTATTTTAAAATATGTTTTTTTCACATATTCTGGTACCAAGTATACCTGTCCTCAAGACAAAGATAAGGATATTTTGAGTTCTCCCTCTCTTTAGCTTACACTGGGTTTCCTTGGGGTTCAAGAGGTCTTTTCAATTGTTCTCAACTGGAATCATGAGCAAGTGGATGGAAAACCCATGTAATTTAAAAAACAATAACCCATATTTGCTTATGTTTGTCCCACTTTGACCTTTTATTTTCCTGGTATACCGAGTTTTACTCCAAGTATTTCTCCATTAGAAAGATGGAGAGAAAGATGAAGATTCATTGGTTTTGAAGCAGATGCAAGTAAAAATCAGCAACATAGGCAAAGTCAACAAATAAGCATGGAAAACTGGAATTCTGCATTCTTTGCTGTCACACCTGTTCTTTCCACATTTCCATAACAAGTTTCAGAGTGGAATCTTTTATGCACTTGTTCATATATTAGTTTAAAAAAAACAAAACAAAACAAAACAACCCCAGAAAAGTGTCCCTCAGTGATTCCCCTCCTTCCACAACCTTAAAATCAAAAATCTGAAATTGCAAACGACCTCTTTGGCCATAGAAGTACAAAGTGGGGTACATGCAAATCTTCAAAAGCACACGTTTCACTACACCCACACACAGGCAGAGTGGCTGACCTGCCAAAATGATACTCAGCATCTTCTTTGCCCCATGCAAAGCTGAGCAAAGGACGGTGTACAAAGGAGGGTGGTTCCTTATCCTTCTTGCAAATGTTAAGAGGAGGTATTTTTATTTTTATCCCAGCAGCGCAGCGTTAGCCCATGGGACTGGGGATCACTTGACATCCCCTCACCTCCCGTATCTCTACGCTGCTCCAAGAGCCAGCACATTTTTTCCTGAACGCTTTTTCCTTAACACCCTTTAAACAACCTCCACCTCACCGCTATGACACCCCCCCCCCCCCCACCGCTTTTTTTTTATAGTTAATTGCCAAAACCTGGGGAAGGGGAGGAAAGGAGAGATTCCCACCTTAGAGAGCTCGGCTGCAGCTGGATGTCATCACTGACAGCGCTTGCTTGAACCCCCTGCTTTATTTACCGACTTTGTCAGCCCAGCTCGAGTTTCAGATAAATATTTACCTTTTCGGAGCCGCGTCTGTGCGAGAGCCGGAGGGATGGAGCGGGGCAGCAACAGGCGCTGCCAGCGCCGGGAGCGGCCCCGCTCGAACACCCGGGGCGCGCTCCTGATCCTGGTCCTGATTCTGATCCTGGTCCTGATCCTCCTGATCCTGATCCCAACCGGTGGTGCCTCCGCAGCGCCGGGATGCCCGGGATACCCGGGATGCCCGGGCAGCCGGAGCGCTCCCCGCCGCCTCCCGCACCGAGGGTTCGGGCGGCTGGTTCGCAGCCCGATCCCGTTCCGATCCCGATCCCGTTCCGATCCCGATCCCGTTCCCGGAGCCGTTCCCGGTGCCAGCCCCGCTCGGGGCCGCCCCCGAGTGACGGCGCCCGGCGCTCCGGCCCCCCCGCGCGGGCAGGTGCTCCCGGGAATTCCTGCGCTCCGGGAATTCTCTCTGCACAGCGTTTCAACCCCTCCTACTGCTGGAATCAAATCTGCGGGGTTTGGTTTTTTTTTTTTTATTTCTTTTTTTTTTTTTTTTTTTTTTTTGGCGCATTTTCCTCCGCCCTGGGGTTTTTTACGGTTAACGCAGATATGATAGTATTGACTGAGAAAAAGGCTAACTACCCCAAAGTTTTAAAAATCAGGTGTTTCCCTACTTAAAGCACTCCTTACGTATTCAGTTCTCTTAGTAAAATAACAGCATAGGTAGTTTATATTGTTATAACTATTTTATATCACCTTCCCCCGTTGACTCTCGCTTAAAAATCAGCCTCTCATGCTCTGTTTATGACTGAAAAAATCTCTAGCGCAGGAAGGCTCCAAGTGCATAAACCTGAAACAAAAACATGCTCATGAAGCATAGCTTTTCTTCTGTCTCTAGAGATTCCAAGATCGCTCATAGAAATATGGAAACTGCTGCGAGTTTTGGTCATTGGGAGTTCCCTGATCACCTGGGGTGCCTGGCTGAGGAAAAATCTGATAAAGTTTCTGTTGGCCAAAGGGGTCACCTGTGCTGTACTGGCACAGCAGCTGAGTGCTTTTGAGTGTGTCAGTTTTCCATGGAGCTGGCTAAACAAAAGTAACTACTTGGCAGAAAGTGAGATAAAGAGATTTCAGACACATATACAATGCAATTAACACACACTTTTCACTCTTTATGTGGTGGTTGCATTTCCACCACCACAGTTTGCTCTCTTCCTTCTGGCTTGTTATGATGTCTTTCACCTAAATAGTTTAAGCATGTCTAAAATACACTCTGTTTTAAGGTAATTTTGTCACTTATAACAGTTCTCCTCAGTTTTAGAAACTCTTTTTGCCTAGAATAATCTTGAGGTGTTAAAATGTGTTCCCTGTTACCAGCTGAGTCACTCTCTGACCTTGGGAAGAAATACATGTAATTTCAGTTTTGCTTTAAACTCACACGAAACACCAAGGCTATGAATCACATACCAGATATTCCAGATAGGGGATTGGACCTCACCTACAGAGCAGACATGCCCAAGGTGGGAGAGAGAGAAAATGGGAAGTGAAGTAGAATGCCTTTGAAACATCTCCGAACATGCTAAAGAATAATTTAACCTGGCAAGGATCCACGGGCTGTGTATTAATTTGACTTTTGAATGTTTCTTGCATTTTGTCTCAAATTTGAGGTAGTCCTCCTAAATAGGTCACATAGAGGAGCGACAGGTTGATAACATTTGCAATTTTCATAATACTGATACTAAAAATTATTGGGCAGCACTGCTTGTTGAGTATTGCTCAACCATTTGGGAAAGAGGCAGTGGAATTTCGAACAATCTGGGCAAAACTTAGTTGAAAACAGCCCAGTTTCCCCTCCTTTTTTCCAGCTCACTGGAGGACTAGGACAGGTATCTGGACATGATAGAAGCGGCACCTGGGAGCTCATGGACCCTGTGATGCAGGGTTCCTCCTATCCTGTTTATTCCTGCCCTGGAATTGCCAAGCCCTGCTGGCACATAATGTTCTCCAGCGTTTCTCTGGGAGCAGCAGTGCCAGGCAGTGCCTGGGAAGGCGAGCATGGCCTTGCCCCAGTGCTGGGGAAGGGCCTGGAATGGGGAGGCAATTATTGCCACTCCCTTGGGAAGCAGAGGCAGGAGCAGAGGGAGGGCTGAGCACAGAGCACGAGCCCCAATCTCTTCATGGGTTATGATTTTACAGCTCTGTTTCTTTGCTGTTTGACATCATATTGCTGCACCACCAGAAAGCAGAGAGAGAATCTTAATTCTGGGCTTCCTTTAGCTCGTTGGTCCTGTCTGTCCTGTTTAATATCATTGTAATAAGTGAGTTAGTTCTGCACCTCTCTCAGTGTAGTGGGTTCCAGGAGCACTCCCTCAGCTGTGCCGGCCTCTTGGCTAATTACCATTCCAGAAGTGCCCCCTTCAATGAAAGTGGTTTGTGTCTTTGCTGCTGTGCTGCAGACCCATGACTGTCACAAAGCTAGCATTGTGCTAAGTCTTAGCCTCTCTTATGTAACAATGGGGTTTATTCAGGGAGAGCAGAATCATCCTTCTCGGAAAAGACCTATGAGAAAAACAAGTTAGAAGCCCCAAAGCAGAGCACTGCTGGACATGGCTTTGCCAACCACCTTCATTTTTTCCATCTTAAAAAACAGACTTATCAGTGAGATCTCCCACGTGAGATCCCACGGTTTATCCTAATGAGATTTAATCATCAGGCTTTGTTCTTATGTTCTTAAAACTTACTGAGCAGACCTGACCAAGTTTCTCTTCCTCAGCGTCACAGTCATATTTTGGGTCACTTTGGCAATGCTGAGTTTCAGTTCAGGCCAGATTTCTGATCCTGCAAATGTGCCTGAATGGTGCTTAGGCTGATGCATCCAGGGGTTCTTTCCTTGTGCTGCTTGTCCTGTTACTATATTGTGCAGAAAAGTGGCAAAATGGATCACAGTCCCTAAAGGGTAAGGGCCAAAACAGACTCTGAGATGAAGGCTCTAAATGGCTGTGCTCCCTGGATAGAAACTCATGGTTCTGAGGCAGGAAATAAAAAATCATCTTTTGATACATCACTTTGCAGTACGTTCCAAATTGCTGTTGTATTTGCTGAAAAGTTTTTATGAAGCTGTAAATGTCCTGTTTATGAAGGAAAGTAAATTAGTTGCAACAAAAGTAGTCGAAATTCAGTCCCAACCACTTGGATATTTTAGTATCAATTTGTTCAAGAATTCTCACAAGATCTCACATCCTTCTTTATGAAATGTTTTCTCCAAGGCTATAGCAAATGTTAGTCACAGTGTGTTTTCACTGCTTCCCCCAAATCACAGTCCTCATAGGCTGCAGGCTGGGAAACACCAGCATTAAAACAACAAATAAACCTTATGATGCAGGATGGTGAAAGCTGCAATACTGTGAAATCTCTTGTTTTTGAAAAAAAAAAGTGACCCACTGAAATGCTCAGGGATTTCCTTTCCTGTAAATGGAGATAAATCAGCTGCAGACAGGAAATAATGTGTTGGAGAATCCTTCCCCATGGACTCCATGCAGTTAATCCATTATGTCTCACTAGAAAGTGTAGCCTGCTTTATCTTTAGCTGAGATTTGTGGCCAGCCACATCACCCATTTCCTCTGCCACAACCTTCTCTTACTCTTTGAAAACTTTCTTTTTTAAGTGGTTAAGATATGCCCGTGGTTTTTTTTAGTTGGTGGAATGACTTTGAAATATTCAAGTTGAGAGCTTGAATAAAGACATTTTGCCCCCACAAAAAAAGTAGAAATTCTGCATTTAGAAAATAGAATATTGAAATTTTGCAGGATAGCTACGGCTACTTAATATGAAAACTCTTTTATAATTTTGCCTTATGTCATCATTTAGCAGAACACATGATGCAGAGGTCTCCTTACTAGGACAGATATGAAGCAGTTAAGAAATAAAATCCTTAATATGCAGATAGTTTTGCCAGAGAGAACTACACTTGTTGAGCAGTTTGTTTTGGGTTTTTTTCCTCCAATCTTCTCTTTTTATTCCAGAAGCTTTCACTGACACATGCTGTCCTTAAAAAAGCCTTTTAGGAACATATTGTGCGTTTCATTCGGCATTTAAAAATAACATTTAAGCAAGCCATTAATGCGGTTGCTTGCTGTAACTGGAACTACGCCTGAGACAGGTGGAATTATCCAAATTTAGGTGGTGCTGCTACAAGGACTTGGCGCCATCTCGTGTTCCAGCCTTTAAATCACTCGCGAGTCATCCTAAGAGTTTTTGGGATGGAGTGTTGTTGGCTCCCCCAGGTAAACACAGCCTCTCCCTGTTGAGGCATTTTATAAATTCTGGGGTTAGCAAGGCTGCCTGAGTAAATCCAGGGCTGGTGGGGGGCAGCTGCAATCTTTTTGGGCAGGCACAGCTGTTTAGAACCTCTGTGTCTGCTCTCACCATCAGGCAGCTGGGCAGATACAGGATTTATGCCATGCGTAGCTGAATGTATTTGTGTAGAGAGCACAGCCCCACCTAAACTGGTGCTGCAGCTCCTTCCATGAGGTGATGTTCAGTCGTGGGATTTGTTTCAGTCACAACACTGGGGGATTTAACAAATGCTTAAATTTGTTGTAGGGGAAAAAAGAAAAAAAACATGCTAGCAAGTCTTGTGAGCTACAGAAGGTGTTATGAAGCTGTTTCTTGACTGAAAAGATATCTATTGTCATCTCTTCAGCAAATATAGCCAGCTTTTTTTTTTTTTTTTTAAGGTATTTCTTATTTAAAAAATATACACAAAATCCTGTATCTTCAAACATCAGGAGAGGCCATAGCAGCAGACAAACTGAGTTCAGCTTACCTGCAAGCTTGGAGGCAGGACACAAGCTGGGTGTCTGTTGTGTCTCTTTCCCTGCTGGTGTCCTTGCTCACCTCTGTGTGTCAGGGTGGTGGTGGCTCTCTCCCAGCCCTGTTCCCACAGCCCCACACTCAGCTGCAGCAGGTCATGAGATAATTCTGATGTCTTCTTTTTGCTTTGGGGCAGCTCTGGGTGCTGTGATGGAGGAAAACACCCTGAGCTGGCCGGGCTGCAGGGAGGAGCTGTGGGCTGGGATTGTCCCAGCTCTCAGGCAGGCACGATTAGCCTAAATCCCTTTCAGCTAACCCCAAGGGGAGCCAGAACAGCCAAGGTCAGCTCCTGGGGCTCAGCTGACATGCAGGAGCTCTCTCACATGCCCCAACTCTGCCTTTCTTCACTGGTCAGCTCTGCTCTGGTGTTTTCTGCTCTTTGCTGAGCTGTACAAAACCTGATGTAAACCCTTAGATCCTCTTTATCCAGATCCCCCCAAAAAATGAGGAAACTGCCTGAAATCAGATATTTCAGTCCAGCAGCAATCATCTCTGAAGTGTGTGCAGAATAATATCACTGTAAAAAAACACAACCTCCTATGAGGACCTCTAA